CTCCACGTCTCTTGTGTGCAGTTCAAAAGGAAAAAGACATCAAAGATTTAAAAAACCCAAACCCCTCTCACCTTTCAATTAGCTCAGCTAAATGCCAAAGCAGATACAGACAGAAATGTATAATGATACCTCATTAACCACATTTGTCATCCAGTGAACACTCCTGTTCTCTGCACTTAAAGGTACTACAAAAAGATACCAGTTGTCTTTACAACTTCTTTCTTCTTCTCTCTAATGTCTAAACAGCATGTTAAACTGCAAAAAGATGCTCTATATTAGCTGGAATATGTATTTACTTTGCTGTCTTTCCATCCAATACAGGAACAATTATGTAGCAGCATATAAGCCCTATTCCTTGATCTGCATTTGTAAACTCCCCACAATTCCAGCTGTGACCCACAAGGCATTTATGGTGTCAACTCATCAGACCAGTGTCAACCTGTGTTACAACAACCCAATGGAAAGAGCTTTTCACTGGTCTGGTTACAGCTATAAATAAGCCCACTTCCTTTCTTTTTTTCTTTTTTTTTAATTTCCTTTTTCTTTCAGGCAAGTTCTCAGTGACCACCTTATACTAAAAAAAAGCAATTTTTTTTTTTTTAAACCACTGTCAACACTTAAAGTTTGCCATGGAAAGACCACATCAGTAGTTGCTAAGATCAGTGCCAAAAAACCTGGCACACAATGAAGGACTCTACAAGAAGGTCTCAAAGACAGCGTTCTTTGCAACTCTCTGTTTATTAAAAATATATGTCTCCTTGGAAGAAACACTGGTAACCAACTAGTGTTGTTGTGATCGATTCGATACTGTCAGCTATGCCATGGAGTACATCATCTTTTTCTCCATGTGACTTGGTAAGAGGGAGACAGGCTATTAGGAAAAAAAAAATAAAACAGAAAAAAAAAAAAAGAAAAGAAAAAAAAAGACAGGAACGGTGTGACTAGCATCTTAAGGACTTTTGTTTCACTTACTCCACTTCTCCAGGGACCAACGTTTATAGCAGCCGGAGCCGGAGCGGTGGGGCAGGGGGCTAGCTGCCAAACACAACCCATTGCCAAAGTTCACTCCCACTGGCAGCAGAATCCTTCCTGCCCTCCACTGCACTTGTGTGTCTTCTGCAGCACCGCTTTCTGTCCCAGGAGGCTGCTCAGTCCCTGCGGGGCTCCTCGTGATGCAGGATGAGTGAAGACAGCTTCTCACCAGCCAGTACTCGGACAGACTTACAGCAGTTGTCATTCGCACCAAGAACCGTGGGCTGTGCGCGCCGTGCACCGACTGACACGCTGATAACTGTTACACTTAGGAAAGGGGACCAGCATCCCACGCTGTTACTTTTCCCTATAAAATAGGGCAAGGGAGAATGCGCCAGGACTTACCTGCTCCTGCTCGTATGGTGACCTCCTTTGTTCTGGTGCTTGGCACCGTGTCTGAGGACCAGCGTCCGCCAGTTCTTTGTAAGGTGAGAGCGGTCTTCCACCCGTACTGCGAGTACCCAGCGACACAGCTCCTCCTCAAAGGCTGTGCAGAGCTTCCCCCCAGTGTCACACAAGGCTCTGTTACCATGAAGGAGCCCCCTTCAAGTGGGGAAGGCCAAGTGTCCTCAAAGACAGACATGTCTCAGCTTAGGACCAACTGTCTCAGCACCAACGGTCGCCTCCCTTGAAAAAAGTCCCAGCGCGCAGCAGATGGGTGCAGCCCCACAGACCTGCCAGCGTGGGGCACCCAGGTTGGTTTTCTAAGGTGACCTTGAAAGAGGGAGCAGAGCCCGATTTCAGGAAGAGGAGTGACACGGAGATGTCGGAGACAAAACCAGGCCAGGTGGCCACGCAGTTGCCTGCCAAGCCCCAGCTCCCAGAGCAGCAGATGAGGTCCCCGCTGCGCTGGGAAGGCCACCGCCACCACCTGCACGCAGGAATTTGGCGTGGAGTAGGGGAAGAGAAAGAAAGGAAGTTTTTCAATTCTGTTACTGATTTGGAAAAGTGTGAACGTCCATCCAAGGCACAGCTGGGGGCTTTTCCTGCCAGCGGCTACCGCAGAAGGGAATGCCAGCGGGCTGCCGCAAGCTAGAATGTGTCATTTCACCTGTGCTCACAGGCTCAGGGCCAGCCCAACATCCCAGGTTTTCCACAGCGACACAGGACAGCAAGTACATTTGTTCCATGTGGCCAGTAGAGTATTTCCTAACTAAACACCGCAGATCTCGATTCTATTTACAATAGAGCCAGCTTAAAAAATAAGTTAAAAAAAAAAAAAAAAGGATTTTATACCCATTCAGTTCATTATTAACAAGAGAAAATGGAATAATGGAAAAAAAACCCAAACAAACCAAAAAACCAACACGGCAACACAATATGGTTTTGGTTTAAAATCAGCGTAAAAAAATAGAACCAAAAGGAAACCTCTCATGCAAACACATAAGGTGGTGTGTAAAACAATGTGCAATTTAATATGTAGTATCATCCATTCTCTTGCTCTGCAGCCTCCCGCTCAGTCTTTTGTCTCCCAGCCTCCCTCAGATCAGCTGCTGCTCCTCACTGGGTCACCCTGGACCTCTGGTCCCCTTCTGCGCAGGCAGCGTACCAGTCTCTGCTCTGCCTCGCGGACCCGGGGTGGATGGTGGGAGGCTGGCCCCCATGGGAGACGCTTCTGAAGCACCTGGTACCGTTTTGAGCTCTTCATGCCCAAGTGGACTCCCTGCGCCCAGTGGTTGGGACAGAGAAACTGAAAGATCCTTGCAATAATACAATACCTTTTAAGAGAGGTCCCTCGGGTTTCCTAGTCCACATACATATATATATATAATATATATATAATATCTCTCTATATATTATATATAAATTACATATACAGATAAATAAAAAGCTTTCTGCTGCCTTTCTGTCGCACTGTTTAGAGCTGCTAGACAGTCACACTTGGAAAAATGCCCCTGGAGCTCTGATACTAGCTCATGTGCTCAGAGTCCATTGTTTCACTTGTCTCTTACATTAGTCCTTAGCTGCCTCCTCCCAGCTTGATTCTTGGTTCAGTTAATAATAATAATAATAATAATAATAAAAAACGACCTTGAATGGGTTCTCATCTGTCTCTAATGGAGCAGTGGGAAGGTCCATGCAGGAACGGTGGGAACAGTCACGTGATGAATGAGTTCATCCCAACAAAAGAAACAGGACTAGAAAACTCAATTTTGCGACGATCTAAAAAAAGGTGGCAGGAATAGTTTTCATATCCCCCCTCCTTGGGGCAGAGGGCTTGGGTAGGGTGGGGCTTCGGAGATCTTCTGCTCACACGGAAGCAGGTGGGGGACATCTTCAGAGTTTCTCTGGGGACGGGACCCAGATGTAGTGCCCGGACTGGTCCTCAATGATCTGTTTGATTTTGCTGTAAATCTCTTCAAGAGAGTCTCCTTGTACAATGGCTGGAAGAGGAGAGAACAAGCAAGATCTTAAGCATCTGGCAGCACTGAGCCTTCCCCGCCATGAGCTATGGGAGAGGCCTTCACTCCACACCACAGGGGCCGGTGTGGCACAGCCAACAATTAACGAACAAGACAACCCGTGTCAAAGGAGCTGTAGCAGGCGCACGATGACACAGAGGGTTAACCCAGCGTGTCCAAGGGGATTAGCGAGAGCTGGCAGAGCTCCTCCAGCATGTGAAGTGCCGGTCGGGTTCTCCACAACCGGCTGCTAATCAGCTTTGCAAACTGTGTCACGCCACCGCACCGCGGCTGCGGGCAGCTGGCCCCGGCCCTGCAGCTACTCCACTGTGCTGAACGGGAGGGCCACAGGCGGATTAGCTGGTGTGCGCCCAGCGCGCGCTCCGAGGTGCCAGATTTGTCCATCCCCTCTGGTCAGCTGCCGAGGGCTCCTCAAGTTTGTTGCCTCCTCCGCTGCAGGGTGGGAACAGCAGCACAGCCGGGCTGGAACAGGCCAGCTTACGGATGGCACTCCCCGCAGGAACTGCCACCCAAAGACCAGCGACAGCCTCGCTGCTTGGTGTGGACAGTGCTTCCTAGATCAGAGGGGGACGATGCACATGGAGGGCTAAAACTTTCTGGTAATTCAGCCAGGACCATCCTCCAGCATCTCTGTTCCCTCATTAGAAGGTCCTGACACAGAACTTGCCACAGTGACCATCACTTTGCCCGTCACCCATTTCTTTCAACAACGGGTTTCAGCAACAAGCTGCCCTTCCCTAGGTCAACTTCAACCTCACCGTCCGAGTGAGTGATGGATTGCTGAGGGTCTGGCAAAACCGCGGCACTTAAAAAAAAATTAAAAAGGCTTGGGCACTTCATGCAGTGCCTGGGACAGGAGCTCTGGGGAAAGCTTTTCCCCAGTTTGCGCCTGTCCATTTGCTCAGCCAAGATCCATTTTTGGAAAATGTCCTGCTTGGAATTTATCCCAGTAGCTTTGAGGTGGGTAATACAGGGTTTGGCAGGATTATCACTCCTCAACTTTAGAAGAAAGAGTTACTGCCCTGGAGGAAAGATGGAAGACCAGTTTCTCTGCCTCTTTGCCTGCCCGTGATTTTCCAGAATTAATCACGTTACAAACATTAGTTCCTTAACGCACAAGGATGCCTGTGTCATGAGCTGCTCATCTCTACAGGCACAATGTGCCAGGCAGCCCCTGACTGGCTCATCAGCAAAGACTACTTAGGAAGCCAGCCAAACTTCCAGTCTTTTTTTGGGAGATGTTTTGTAATAACTCAGGACAGTCTCCACCATTTAGGTCACTAAATTTTTTATCTTCCCTCTTTAAAATGACTCTTTTCTCTTTTTGAAAACACTCAACCTTTCCCCTGTGCAGGCAGTTTTATGTCCTGTAGTCTTTAGCACCCTGAATCTACACTGTGCTTATGCTGCCTGGGGATTTTTTTTTTTTCTTCTTTTTTTTAAATTATTATTAAAGTTGGCGATAAGCTTTCACAAACTCGGAAAATCCTGCCTGACAACTTGTCTCCTTCTCTAGAGCCGGCTGACTCTTATCCACCGATCTTTGAGCGGTCCCTTTGCAGAGCCCTGCTGGCAAAGCGCCGTTTCTTCTTTGCTTTGATGAAGCTGGACATTTTCCCACGACCCTGCAGTAAGACAGTGCTGGTAGAGAGGTCACAACTGCCGGTCGGAAAAATAAAAATCAATCAGATACCAGCCTGCTCAGGACACTCACCTGTAAAATACTCTCCGAACTCCTGCTCGAGTTTCATGGCTTTGTCATAGACCTTGTTGGCCTGTTCGTACGTCTGTCTCCGGTTCATCTCCCTGCCATGGATTAAAAAAATAGGAACTTTGCTCTTTTTCTTAGTCATGAACAGAAGTGAAAATAGCCCATGGAGCTGGGGTGCCTGGGAAGCCTCTGCGCACCGGGCATGGGAGCTGTGCAGGACCCAGCTCTCAAAGGCAGGACCCTTCCCCACATGCTCTTTGCTGCTTTGGCACTTCAACTCAGTTTCCAGCAGTTCTTCCCATCACCACCCCCCACCTTTCACTGTAGCACAGAAGGCGATTTGTATCCAGACAATCCTCTGAATTTGCAAGACCGCTGCAGAAGTCTCCCTGCTTTTCCACAGCCTGTCACCACCCTCCTTGCCTGGATTCCCTCACCTTCATACAACACCCAAAGAAGCAATTTCACCCCTTCTAGCTTGAGAAGGGGTTTTCCTAGTCCCCTTGGTGCCAGCAGAGTCTCCTCTGATCTTAGAGTCCATCTCTACCTACCGAATCACCTCACAGGCAATATTCGCTGCTGCTGCTTGCAAGAGTCGCAAGCTCAGCTTTAACGTCCTTTCCAGCCTGCCGTCCCCAGGGCCAGGAGCAGGACAACCAGAAGGTCCCCCTTAGGCACAGAGGAAACATCTCCCCTCTGCTCCCCAGGGCTGGTTTGGCTCAGCCACCGTCCAGCTGTCATCCGCCGCTACGGGCTGTGGGCAGCAAGCCTGGCTGGACGCAGGGCCCAGGTGACATCAGGCACGTTTGGGAGCGTTTTTAGATTTCCCATGGATAACCTTCTTTGGGGTGAACAAAGGGCTTTAAACCAGCACAATCCATGTAGCCTGGGTGCTACAGCAGTAGATGTGGAGGGACACCACAGAGACAGCAATGGGCCCAGCTCCTCTTAACAAAGGACATGCTCGGCACCAGCAGCAACCTCCGCTGCTTTCTAAAAAGCAGAGGCAGCAGACATACAGACCCCTGCCGTGCCAGAGCTGCTTGCCCTGGAGAGGCACAGCACACGGCGTTGCACTTACATGAGAGCTTCAATGGATTTTGGTTTGATGAAAATGGCAATGGGATAAAGTTGTGCTTGTTGCAACCTCTTGATGGCATTGCCAGACACGTCCAGGATGCAGTGTTTCCCCTAGAAAGGAGATTATTGAGATCAGACCGACCCACACAGTCTACTCCACACAGAAACCAGCTTGCTCGTACAGAGGTCCTCACAAAAGAGGAGCCACAGAGATGAAACCCCACTCCCGAGACATGAGCCAACTCCCAGTGGCCTTACGTTCCTGCCTCCTTAGGGCAGGACAGCAGCAACGCAAAGGGACCAAATCTCTCAACACGTGAAACAATTTATGAGCCACTGGTACGCTCCAGCACTCCTGTGGAGGAAATGCCGCTGCTTTGAGGAGGGCAGCCGGGCACCTCTGCCCTGCGAGCTCCTGAGCACGAGGCTGGTGCCGCCAGCGCCGGGCTGTCGGGTAGAGTTTGGGTGACAGCGGTACGACACTGAGGTAGAGTAACGCGGCTGAGAAAAGCAGCCACGTGGCTTGGCAGGACTCCAGAGGGAGGAGAGGCTCGAGCCACGCTTGCTTAATGTGGTTACAGCCCTTCGTTAACAACATGGGGAGAGGAGGGGAACTGCCAAACACGTCCGAGCTTAGGCTGGATGAGTCCCGGTCCCAGAAGTGCCACCCAACACTCACCCTCTCCGCCACTGCCCGCACTGACTGAATGCTGGTCCCATACAGATTGTCGTTGAACTGCCCAGCCTCTATGAACTTGTTGTCCTGGATGTCTTTCTCCATCTGTTCACGGGATACAACGAAATGGTAGTCTTGGCCATCCACCTCGTTCTCACGCCGAGGCCTGGTCGTGTCTGGAGAAGAATGGGCATCATGAGCAAACCCGGAGCGATGCACGCCAAACCTCCTGGGAGGGAGAAAACCCACCCGTGCTCCCGACCCCCTCTCCATGCCACGGGCTGGACCCCGGCGAGCAGCAGAGCCACCACTCCCCCCTCCCTGGCACCGAGCCCCAGCTGGGACTCACGTGGCACGCAGGAACCAAACTTGTGCGGGAATTCGGAAATGAGATCGTCGTTAATTCGGTCCTTTGTCGGCCCCAGGATGATCACCGGCCTCGCATAGTGAACTGTGAACAAGAGCCACAACCTGAGGCCCTGTCTGTGCCACGGGCAGCTCACCCAACTTTTGGCATCAACCTGCCCTCTCCCCGCTGGCAGCGGGTGCTCCTGCTCACACAGGAACCCAAAGGTGCCGCCTCCCTACAAGTTTCTCTCTCCTCCCGGTCACGGTCAACATCTCCTTCCCATCTGACCCAAACCATCTGTGCAGCCCTGCGGAAGGTGCTGCGGGTCTCCAGGGTTGCGGATCAGCAAAGCTGCTCCCTCGCTGGGGGCAGGAGCCAGACAACCAGCACAGCTGGGCGAGGATGCCACATAGGTGCAGGAGTGATGGATGCCCAGCACTCTGATCCAGCTTCTGGCAAGAACAGACAGCTGAGGCTGGGACTGTTCAGCCTGTGAAAGGGTCTGCAGGGACCGAGCACTGAGCAGGGTGGGGGATTGCTCTGCGGCAGGGACCTGGCCCCAGCCAGGGAGGGATAATCCCGTCCTCAGCTGGGGACTAAAGCCCAGCTCAGTTTTAGCTTGAGATCTCTCCCTTGGTCTTGCAGACCAGGTCACAACTCTTTTCTGTTGATTAAAAAGTGGCAATCAAGGCTAGGGAAAGCCCTGCAAGGCAGCGTGCATGCCTGGCTCCCTGCTGCACGCCACAGACAAGGAACTCCACTTGCGTTCACCCAGCATCGTGCTGGTACAGCAGCAGAGGGAAGGAGGTCACACCAGTCACCCTAGCTGTGCTGGGGTCACAGGTGCCCACACTGGAGCAGGCACGGGGCAAACTCAGTGCCAGGACTTACTTTCTTGCCGTGTCACCGGCTCGTACGACAGGATGGTGTCCTCTTGTCCTTCTGCAATAGAGCCAGGGAGAGGCAGGTGAGCAGCCACAGCAGCTTTTCAGGCCCCCCGCACCCAGGAGGAGCTGGCTCCTGTGCCTGCCAGCTCCTGCAGCCCTGGGGACACCTCCAGGCTCCAGCTGACATGGAGCATGACAGGCATGCAGTTACCAGACCTTGATCCACGTTAATTATTCATGGCCCAGCTCTAGGTCAAGCCTCCGCTCTCCCTCCCCACCACTACAGGCTTGGGACCCATTGGGACATACCGTCCTCCATGCAGGGTGGACGGGGGCATTGCTGCAGGTATTTAGAACTGGAGATAAAGGGAGCATTGGCTGCAGCTGGATCCCTGTGCTCGGGCTCCAGGAGCTACCTATGCTACAGACCCAGCCTCTGGCCATTGCTTGCCACAGCAGGCACCAGGGGACCACCATGGACTGGGAACCCACCACCCAGCCCTGGAGCAGAGCCCTGCAGCCAGGAGTGAGCAGGGAAGCAGGCAGGGCTGCTCCTGCCCCCCGGCCCTGAGGAGGGAGCTGGCCGCAGCATCTCAGCCTCACCAGCAGGAAGGACCAGCCTCCGAACAGAACCAGCACTGGGACAAGACAAGATGGAAGTGCCAAAACGTGAGCACGCACACACACACACACACACACACACACACGCACAGAGGCGGGAGAGCAGGCGAGATGCACACTTACTGGAACTGCTCTCGCTGTCACTGGTGTTTGATGTCACGCCCTCTGCAAAGCAACCAGAGAGACCCCCTTCAGACGGAGCATGGGCGGAGGGCACGGGGGCACCCCAGCTGTCACCAAGCACTACCAACCCAGGCCAGGGCAGCACCGGCCTCCCAAAAACCTGCGCCCCAGCACCCGCTGGGATGAGCCTGAGCCGCACAGGCAGGGCGGCATCTCTCGCCCTTTGCTGGCAGACTGGGGACGTGCAGGGGGGATGCTCGGATACTGCGGGAGAAGGCAGGGATGCCGGGAGGAGGCCGCTGAGCAGAGGCTGGACTTCCCAGGGCGAGGGAGGGAAGGTGGAGTGGATGGGGAGGAGTGTGCTGGTGGAGGGAGTGGGAGCAGCATGCACAAGGAAGAGGGGCAGGGGAGGGCATGGGTCCACACCAGCACAGGGACAGGGGAGCCTATCTCTGGGGACGGGACTGGGACTCACAGAGACAAGACAGTGACAGGATGGGACAGAGTTCGGGGCTTTGCTTGCTCGGGCTGATCACAGTGC